TACGCAGAAAATATTGCAGGTTAGGACAGGTTACGAGGTATAAGATTATGAAAGGTTATAGGTTGTTAAGGTTTTTAAAGGACAGGTTATAGGTTATGAAACAGTTGTAACCTGCAGGGCTCCAATACATGTATAAATGAACGAAAAAATAAAAATACTAGCCGTGTTACATGGAAAAACTAACTCCAAAACACGTGATCCTTTTGAGCTAAAACTCAGGCTTGACAAAATCAAAGAAAAAAGCATTTCTTGATGCTTAAAACTATTATATTCTGTATAAGCAAGTTATTTCAAATCGAGACTGAATAATTGCAAAGGCGAAAGTCAGTAGCCAGCAAATTAATAATTCGATTGAAATACATTGGCTCGAAATTGCAAAGAAAAGCACATTATACGTTCAGCAAGCCATATTAATTAATTCTAAAATTTAAGCGATAAATCAAGAATTTGAGACACCAAAGTCGGTGGAAACCGATGTAACGTCTACAACTCGACCACTTCTGTTCGCGATTATTCTATTTCCTTTATTTTTGAGGTGCCGGTAATTTGAAATTCCAGCAGGTTTTATTTTTCGTCCATTTATACATGGTTGGAGAGAGCACGTCGAGTTAACTAAGGAAATGTGAGTTTTCGTTTTTAAGAACAAGTTTTAAGAAAGAAACTTAAAACAAAAAGCTTTTGAAATTCGTCAAAATTAGGCTAAGTTTTCAAAAAGACTTAATTTTGAATGGTCACTTCTTACGTCTCGTACGAGCTTGCATAAGCGTGTACGATCCTAGTACGATTCTTCGACCTGGGTACTGATAAAAAATGGAGTATGTGAATTCAAACTTACTTTATAGAATTAGAATTATCAGTTTTTTATTGTAAAATATTTTTCATTTATTTATTTTCAATCCTGCTGCAATTGCTTTGGTCTTACAAGCGCTTGCCTTTGAGAGACGTGACCTGTATTTCTTCCTTATCGCAAGATCATACGATTTCTTGTTATAAGATCTTATATGATCTTGCAAGAATCGATGACTCATTCTTACCACTTAAATCTTGCTATGATACTGAGTATATATATAACACAGTTCTTATGATAAAACTTAGGATTTCTTTCTTTCTTCGTCTTCACACATCAGCTGCAGCTCATCATCATCATCATCACTCGGCTGCTCTCGAGCAGGCGACCACAGCGCCAATAAAATGCATGGCTATAAGGAATGTGGTTAAACACTATCCTAAAGACGTTTGTGTCCTACCTATGCCAGAAAATATTTTGAATAGAGAACGATACTTTTTTAAGAGGATCTAGAGGAAATTTATAGAACACGATCAGGTACAGAATCTTATAAGATCTGATGAATTCTTACGTGATCTTATGAGACCTTGTCACTTCTTGCAAGATCATATGATATCTTATACAATTGCTCGCCCTAAGTGTGAACAGCAGTTGAACACACCTTGAGAATGAATGCAAGATTAACCTTTTTCTACACCGAATAAGCACCGACAAAATATGAAAACTACATCGATCGATAGAGGAGAGCGCGAGCTACATTTTGTTATATTAAAAATAATTTTGAAAAGGTTTTTCCTTAGGTTAAACGCGACTTTAAGCCAAAAGTGCCATACTCTTCAGTGTGACTGCTCCATCTCAGGTATGGGTGGAAAGCCGATTTTGATGTTCAGAAACCCGTTTTTCCCTCTGAACTTAAAAGTCTAAATTTCTCTTTTCATACCCATATACAGTATCTGCTTGACTATATGATGACGCAAAGATACCCAAATGATGTTTAGTGGAAAGTAGGAGGTGGTTATTTAGCCCGATCGGGATTTATTTTTTTTTCCCGAATGAGATATGGTATATTGAAGGCATATCCAGATACGGTCAGTCCGGTCTTACACTCCGAACGGGATATATATCCTGATCAGACTGTTTTGTGTAGCCCTACTAGAAATGAAAAAATCGTGAATGGAGACCCTTAAACCAAGACTAGAGCTCCTTTCCTCGGGATATAGGGTATTTTCCAAACGGGATATCGCTCGTGAGATCGGACTGCCCGAGTAAAACAGCGTCTAGAGAAGATACTCCAGCATCGCGTTATTCATTCGAAATTTAAAATTAAATAATACAAAGATATAAAATCGATTTTTCGCGTCATCTGGACTGAAAGAAATCATTATACTATCAAGTAAATAAATTTATTTTCGATGCTTCAAAGCATCGAAAATCGATCAGTGATTCTGGTAAAAGCAATAGTGATTCGGGCGCAGAATGTCGTGCTGAATCTGAATATGAAAATGGAACAATTATGCAAGGTCGTATGTCGCCAGAAATGGACAGAAAGCTTGCAAAAATCAAGGTTTTTTAAAGTGTTCATCCAAGCTGACTAGGAAGAGAATCCGGTTGCAACACCAAAATTTTACAGAGTATGTAACTTTTTATGCTCTACCGATGACGCTAGAAAGGGACCGAAAAAAGTTGCACAATGAATCTCGATAGGATCTCATAAAACCTTTCCAAGATCCTCACGGGTGTTGAGCAAACCAAATTCACTATCGAGCTCATCATATTTCAGCGTCTCGAATAAAATGGATCTTATTGAACTACGTTAGATTCGTGAGTCGAGAGTGCAATATTAGTTATAAATAATTTTATTGTATAAAAGACATTAATAACTGGCACAACAAAAATATTCAAAAATAATTCAGAATAGTTGAAAAAAAAAGACTTTAAATTATTACACCTTATTACAGAGGCTCTAAATTATTTGACGATAATTTTAATTCAGATAATCACTTTTTTACATAGGTTTGTTTTCTTTATCATTTTGATCTGAAGTGTCTTTTGAAAGATCGTGCTCGTACTCAACAAGTTGTTTTAAGAAACCAATATTTGGACAAATAATGATTCGTTTTTCCGATAGATAATAATAGGCTTGTTCAAATGTGTATGAATGATACTTCATCAGATAGGCCAATACAACTAAAATAACAATATGTCTTAGGATCATATATTTCTACTATTTTGCAACAGTTTGCTTTAGATAAACGAACCTGTAGCACTACGTGATATTCCTGCATGACAATGACACAAGACTTTTTCATTTTTCGAATAACACGTTCGCAAAAAATCATTTGTCGATTGAAAATGTTCTTTAATATTTGTTTCACTTAAATCACGCAAATTAATATGAAATACCTAGAAAAAATGCTCAGAAAGATGATGTAAAATCAATAAAATCACATTATACTTACATTAAAGTTATTTAATATCGTCTCATTTAATGATTCATCGCATACTGTCAAAATATGTTTGATGCCAAGTGAATGCAACTGTTCAACATCACAAGCATGATCAAAATTTCCTGAAAAACAACATGTACAACCTAGAAAACTGATTTTAAAAAGGTAAAATTCACTTTACCAAGAAATAAAAAGTCTTGTAAAACAGCTGATGGTAAACGTTGTCGATAACACTGTAGAATACTGGCACCGTTATTATAAAATTTCATTGTATTATATTTTACAATGCGTTCCAAACATTGTCGTTCAGGTTTCAACATTTGATCCATTATTTCAACATAGATTTTGTCCATTTCGAATGTGATTTTGATCAACACAATGGTTTTAGAACAAATTTTTATCTAAATAAAAAAAAATATATCAAACACTTTACTTTGAGAAAACAAAGAGTCATGCATATCAGGCAAAGTGCACGCGTAATGTTAGTCTACAACCAATCAATACGACTCAGTCTGTGATCTATCGTTCAATTTTACAGCGATCCCATAAACAACAAGCATCGAAGTGAAAGATAAAAATTCTTTACGAACAAGTATTTTTAGATATATCAGTTTTTCTAACGTGCAATTTATTGCTACCCTCTACTCTTTTTTAAACTTGTGTTTATATGAAGAAACTTTTTAGTAGTATAACCTATTTTTGCTCCTCTCCTATAAAGTGGATTGATTCAATAACCTCTATGTTAACCAGAGAAGCGTTATTCGCTACGTTTTCATCGATAAAAAATGAATGGCAGGTTTAACAATATTTAATGAAAAGAAGACAACAATCTCATCATATTAGAACGTCAGAAAAAAAGTACTCTCTTGAATAAATACAAAACAATGAAAAGTAGCATAAACCATCATATGCAAAAGCAGAATTAATATATAAAGCAATATATGCACATAAAACATAGTTCATCATTTTTATTTTTAATCTCATTCGGTATTTTTTGTAAACGATAATATTATTGTTACCATTTCCATATCTTTGAATTCTGCTAACTTTAACATTATCCAAAATCGACGAACATCGCTCTTTTTAATTCCAAGAGATATTTGATCGATTGTTTCAAAAATCCATCGTATGAACATATTATTAATCTTTTACGATACAGATAAGAGTGAGCTTCTTCGATGGTTTCATGATGATATTTCATTAAATAACTCAAAACAATTGTTGCACTACATGACCTTCACACATAATAGCAAGCCTGCGAATAATCATTATCTATACGTTTAGAAGTTAGCTCATTTCCTTACCAATGTTCGTTCTTTTTTACAAAAATATTGATAGAGAAAATCATCTGTTCAAAGAGACTGTTATCAAATATTTATATATTAATAATCGAAAATATTAAGAAAAATAACGTTCATATTATCTGTGACTTCTTTTAGGCCATATCACATTATTCATAATAATAATGTTAATTTTAATGTCAAGTTTTTTCACCAAAAATGATTTGAGTGCATGATAAAAAATACCTGAATAAAAAGTTAAACAATGAGCAAAAGAGAAAACTGCACTACAACTGCAATGTACCAAGAAACACAGAAAGTGTTGACAATAATTGATAAACATTTTAAACCATTATGTTATGTACGAAAGGTTTCAAATGTAGTCTCATCTTGATCGTTAAAACACATGTGAATGGTCGCAGTCGAACAAAAATTGTGTCAGATGATTTAAACAAACATTTTATTCATCATTATCGCGTCGCCCATTGGTTGAACTTGTATTGATAAAAATAGAAAATTTATTTAAAATAAGCACAAGAAATCAAAGATCAATTGTCTATCTCCGTTTGAGACAAAGCACCGTTTTCGATCCTTATGTGAAGTTAAAACACTTAAAGGGAACAAACGCATTAACCATAGCAGCTAGAGGGCTGTATGAACAACTATTTTACTCACGTTCATGGATGAAAATAGTTCTATTTTCCGTGAAACGAAAATTCTCCCCCTTCTTCTACGCACATAGAATCTGTGTCATGAACATAGATATATCTCTGTGTGCCTTCGTTCAACGGAGATGTACCAAGCACTCTAATTCCTACTGATTATTTTTGTCTCTGGTACTGTTAAAACGACCACGAGTTTTTGGTTTACCGTAGCCGGTCCATGTCGATATTTAATACAGAACTGATGAATGAAGTACGTACTAAGTGTCTTCTTTTATTTACAAGGATAAAAAAAGAAGAGTAGCAAATTGAACTCGATAGATCTTTCTTTCTAATAAATTGCTAACCACATATGATTTTTGGGCTGTCTATCACCTCGTCACATTCCAAAAACTTCGTCTTTTATTTGATGCGAAAGTCGCGTAAAAGCTATTTACATGGCTTTTGTATCAAAAAAAAAGACGAGACTTCGTAACGATTTCCTCCAAAATACGCGGCTTTCGCATAGAATTTTACAGGGCTTTCGTAACTCTATGTTCATAGTGTAACAGTTAATGTCTCAGATATCATCGAATTATCGCGCAAAAGCATGGACGACAATCTCTGTGAAAGAGTAAGCACTCTTCATTGTGAAAGCCCTGCAGAAGTCTTTGTCGAAAACACTGAGACTTTATAGTATAGCTATACCTTATACAAAAACCGCTTAAAACTGTGGATACGAAAGGCCCGTACAATACCGATACGAAAGCCCTGTAAAGAGCATCTTAGAATGAACTTGGCACATAACTATTCCGTTACGAAAGCCGCGTATTTTTTGGATGCCGCATAACGAGATGATTACCGACTTTTTTCTTTACGAAGATGTGATTTAAACAAAACAAAATTCACTTTCGTTAAGCTCTTTTCGTTATACATTACATTTTTTTACTAATATTCTTACTTCTTGCACATTTCAGGATATGCCCTTTGTACAGCAACCGAGTACTCTTCCTTCATTTTCAATTCACACTTTATTTTTCCTAAAAAAAATGTATTTGTCTTATTAAAGTACTATTTAATGTTTGTTTCTAATTTTGCCAATTCAGTGTGAAATATCTAAACAAGAAATCGGATTATTTGGAAATTTCAGTGCACTTACCTTAAATTCACTCAATATTTCTGGCTCCAATAAATACCACTTACAAAAATTGAGATGACATTCTTAATTTCTAGTTCTTTCAATAATTCCAAGTTAAATACATGATTAAAAGTATTCGTAAATATAGTAATTGAAATGTAGTTTCTGCACGAAAAAGGGAAAATAAATTTCACTGACAAGATATGAAAAATGAAGAAAAAATCACTAACGACGGTGACTATATTGTGCAAAATTGTTTTCTGAATTTAATCTCGATATACGCTCTAAATTCGACTGTTTTTCTTAGTTAGATCATCGCATATATCAGATAGACTAGTAACATTTTCCTATATATTTTTCTCCAGATAGAAAGAAGAACGAACACAGCGTTCTTTCGATTCAATAAATTATAGGATATTAGAACAAAGTTTCATGCCTCTATATATTGTGGCACATATACTTTTACGTCATTTTTTGTGACATCAGTAAAACGAGAACAAATAGCGCAGATTATATGAAAATAAACAAGAAAACAGAGTAACTGACAATACTTTTTGAATGGGCTGACGAAATCTCTTGTATATTGACGGCGACTTTTTTTCTTTTTATCAGTTTTAAAAAACAATCCTTCAAAAAGATAAAATGATATCTATTCTTTTCCGCTTTGAATAGTATTCGTTGATAACTTATTTCTTTAAATCAATCTTCTGTATTCATTTATTGTATTATTACACGTACCATTATATGAATCACGTTCAATTCAACTATATGATGGTAGAATAAAAATTGTCAAAAGTTACTTTAAGCCTTTCTAATCATGTTCATCTTATAAAATATTAAAAGCTGTTGATCATGAAGTAGTTTATATACATGGATCAAAATATCAAAAGATATAAAGAAAACTTCAAATGACGGTTTACCATTCAGCTGTATTTATATACGAAGTGGTGAACATTCTCTTGCAAATAGAGTCCTGTGACTTTAGCTTTCCCTGGACTCCGAACCCACCGTCCAACAACTCTAGACATATAGGTCTGGCTAGATCCGGACCTACAAAATGAATAAGTAAAGAGATAACTCTTTAAAATAAAAATCATAATTTAAACTACTGTCATCGGTTTTAGATCTGTCGATCCGTGTTCTGACTAGAATTTTCTTTGCATAACTGTATTTGCAACGTTTTTGCGTGAAAAGTAATGAACCATAAATCTAAATTATTATAAGCTTTATTATATCAGAATACAAGCAGAAAAATATTCCATTATAGTAACTAAAACTATCGAATCTAAAATCTAAATTTGCTTTCATCCCGTGTTTAAACTAAACAACTATCGATGTTTTTGATCATTTTTTATATAAATCAAATTATTCAATATATCTGATGTCTGTTTATGAGAAAATAAAGTCAAATTCAAACAAAAGTGTCTCATTATGGTAATCTTAATATTTTTTAAAAATAGTCATTTAAATAATTGTGTCGTAACTTTTGATATACAGAATAAATTCATCTGATCACATATGAAGTGTTTCATAAATGTTAGAAAATCATTGGATGATCTAAAATAAAATGAACAAAAATATTTCAAAAAATAATATTATACAAATATAATGATCATACCGTACCACTACTGAGTGTATGAAAAAATTTTGGTAACCGAAATACTTTTATGGTTTCATCTAGTTGAGATTTTTCCGACTGATTAGTCATATCACTAGAATTCTCAACTGACGATGAACTTATATAATTACTAGAGTGTCGTAAAGATGCATACAATTTTCTTATTGTTCCAACTGTTTTACGATTATTAACGTCATTGGTGATCTATTAAAATGAAAAAGAAAAATATTAACATTAGTGGTTTCAATATATCGTGCACAAATATGTGAAAATCTTGCGACAATTTTAAATGTATTATTAGACCGAATTAGATATTTAAAAAGAATCTATTGTCAAATTTTGATATTATTTATACACTATTAGTAAACATACTAAAGAACTCGAAGCAAAGTATTAATCTTTTTTATTCAAGTATCATTTGATTATAAAAGCTTTTACTCTTCTCGATTATCAATCTTCAATTAGTAAAAATATGAGAGATTCTGTTGATTTCTAACCTGCTTCATAGAAACATTATCATTTACTGTTGTTTTATCGCATGAATCTTCTTTGATTTTTTTTGCTTGATTTTCATCATTCAATTCTTCTGCCAATTGTATAGTTTTTATGCGCACGTGTGATTTCGGTGATTTTGATATTAACGATGGCACTGTGACATCATGAATATCATCAATTCTTCTGCTCAGATGATTCCGATTTTGTGTTGATATATCTATTAATTGATAAAAAAAGATCATCTGGTGGCAAATATAATAGAAAAAATGTCGTGAAAACTAAGCAGAGAAAAATATCTGGAAAAGTTTTTTTTCTAAAATAATAATTACATTCGTTAAACCTTCGATACAATATTTTAAAAAGTTCATCTGATTTTACGATTCTTATTTTTGTAAGATTCTCATTCCTCTTACCTTTGTAATTGACGGGGAAGTCAATGACCTCTTATATTTGTGATTAGAGTATCAAGAAGAGCAGAAGATAGAAGATTTCTCTTGTATTCTCTTACAAGAATCTGGGGACATAATACAGACGGACAGTAGGCAGGTGCTTTCGTGCTCCTAGATAACAGTATTATCCTAAAGGATTTGCACTAGTATTGAAATAATTCGTTTCGATGTATCTTAAAACAAGACGAATTCATGCAACTAATATCCAACCAGGTTATGCCGTCTTATTTTGACAGGAATATCATAGACTACTTATTTCTCCCAAATGCCGTGCATAAAATGTCGTCCATATTTTTTTTTATTTTTTAAGATGAGAATAACAAAAAAAAACTCACGTTGTTTAGACGAAGTTAAATGTTGATAAAACAATGCTATTTGGGATCCAAATTTTTTTCGTATTACACAAAGTACAAATAGAATAGCCAGTATACTAAATAAAAATATTAAACCAAGCCAAAACGGATGCATGATCTCTTCTTCATTAATCATGATTCGATATTATTTCATAGAAAACAAAACTTCTTTATAGAAAATGTTTGTTTTAGATAGTAAAAACAATATAAATTACAATAGTATATGAACATGATATTTAAATGTCTTGAGCTTTTTATTGCATATATCAAGCGTAAAAAAGTTTAAAGACCGAAGAAGAAATGCACGACTCCATTACCATTACCGAACAAGGTAAGGTTAAGTTATCGAATTATTGTTTTTATCTTTGTAATAATGAAGACAAGTAGAAGAAATACTATTAGCGCACGCAGGAATGATTGTGTATAATAAAGAACTACAGTAAAGATTAAGAAATAAATCCATACAAGAAAAATGACGAACAACGAATTTATGACATGTTCAACAGTGACACATTGACTACTTTAATATAAAGATTTTGTACCTAAATCATTGATTTATGACTTAAACTAGCTATGTATAAAGATAACAAATAAGATTCTATCCTGTGTATCCAGAAAGTCATACACACCCGACAATCTATTTAAGGTCGTTACAAATAGGCATAGGTACAATGGATTCTAAAAGGGTTCCAACAGTACTAAAAACTTTTTTTGTGCTTTCCCATGTCAATTTTCACACTGAAGACAAGGCTGGACTCACGCCAAAAAGTCATGGTAGGATCCCGTAGAATTTTAGGCGAACTCTCAGAATCCCGTCCATTAAACTTCAGAACAAAAAATTAAGTAAAATTTTAATATTCCTGTCATTCCGTTTGTGATGTGACAGCAAGCGTCCATAGTGATCGCAAAGGTACTGCACGACTTTTTCGCGATCGTGAAGCGTTCACAGACGTGACAGTGGGTTCGCGCCACGACTTGAATTAGCATTCAGAAACGTTTCGAATTTTTCGATTGCCGTTTTCATCGTTGTCTCACTTTCTAGTGAATATGTTACAATTCTTAGCTTATTTAGTTAAAATATTTGATGTTTTATAAAATGAGTCACTTTCTTCTGTGTCCAAATTAGCGTCCATTATCCATCCATATTTTCGTTTTTCTCTATGTTACTTGACAAATAAGAATGTGATTGATTATGTATTAGAGAAAGACGACTTTATTACATTTTTTTGAAAATTTAGTGCAGCGTCTTATTTTTATCTGAACATTTTCAGGTTTCATTCATAGTCGGTATTTTTCTAATAGCAGGCAAACATCAGAATCTTTGCTCGTGAACCATTTTTTGTGAATAGTTAGCATTGCTTAGCCAGCTCTGATGCTTTAAAGAAAAAATAATTGTTTTCAGAAAAATCATTTTTTTCGAATAGTCAGTTCAGTCTTGCATTGAAAAAAATTTTGATGGATAGTTATTCGATCCAAAACTTATTGTGTTATATATGGCTCAATGCAACTCGACACGCCGATTCTGAATATGACCTCATTTTCTTAAAAGTGTTCCTAAACTGGGAAAAATAGCTTTTACTTGGAAAACCAAAACTTTTTGAAAACTCTACAGTAACAGCTAGGAAAAGAGTTGCCTTACATTGCACGTACTATAGAAAACAGAGGACTTCGATTTTTTGCTAAGTGTCCGCGTGGATGTACACTGTGCTTCTTCAACTATGAATAAATTCAAATTAGTGCAGTTTTGTTCAGTTTTTGATTGAACAAAACGTGTCACTTTTTAATTTTTCAAATATCAAAAATTACCAGCAGAAAAAAACAAATCATCAAAAACTAAAAATAGAAAGATAGAGATCTGTTCTTAGTATTATTATTTTTCTTGTTATTGCTCGACACATTCACATTTGTGTTTACAACAATGTTTCGTTTTATTGTTTTCCCACTGTTGGCTGAACTCCTCATTTCTTTTTTTTTGACATTGAAAATCTTTATTGTTTCTTAAAAGGTTAACAAAAATAATAACATAGTGAACTTAAACTAAAAAGAATTTAAATAATTCCAGAGTTTGCAATTAAGACTTAGAACTTTGTTAATAGTAAAATGAAATTCCTCTTTATTAATTACAATCGGAAAATGCTCATTCAAAAATAAACATATAAACAAATAGATAAAAAATGAGAAGAAGAGTGATAACAGACACATTGCCTGTTTTTAGGAAGTTGTGTATAAAAACTAAGGTAAACGTGGAAAGAACTTTAAAACTGCCCACTCTAGGACACTAGAAGATTTTTTGAAGATTTTATATTGCTTTTTTGTATATTCTCAAAAGATAAGTAATCCAACTTCGTATGTTGAGCCCTCTCTTCAAGTCTATTAGGAAATTTTGAATTTTGAAAATGTAATCACCTAAAGATAATTCTCTAGTGATAGCGAGAGTAATGTGATCCTCCCAGCCGCCGAAATTGTAGATAATTCTTAGACCTGAACAGTAGACGTGCTCAATCTCTGCTTGCTGCCTTTCAGTATAAAGAAACCAAGTAGCAAACAGTCAAATGAAGTGAGATAAGGCGTATGCACAGAAAAGTTTGCGGCGAAGTTTAGTTTCGATTTTAGGTATTGTTTTAAAGATTTTTCTCAGTCCTGAATAAATGTTCCTCACTTTTTTTAATCGGTTTTTTTATGAAATTTCCCCAACCTAATTTTGTTCCAATTTCTACTCCCAAAAACTTGAAAGAATTTACATATTCTATGAGAATTCCCTTATATTTAATTTTTGATTTTGAAGTAGCTACTGTACTGTGAACGAGCATTGCTTTTGTTTTTGCTACGTTCACAGGCAGTATGTGATCGTCTACAAACTTTTCTAAGCCTTTCAGAACTGATTTTGCCTGTCTTTGTAAAAATTTAATATTATCAAACAGTCTCATGCTTCAAGTGCTCCTTTTATGACCATAGTGAGATCATCGGCAAATAAGTGAGACATTATTTGAGCGAAGTAATAGGGCAGAAAGTGAATATGAAGACGAAACAATAAGGCTGCTAAAACTGAACCCTGGGGTGCACCAACAAAAATCCTGAAGATTCTTGATTCTGCATCTCCGTGTGAGATGGTCATTGAACGATTTTGTAACCAACCAAAAATCCATCGGCGAAGTTGCAGAGGCATATTTAGTTCTTCAA